GAGATCTGCAGAACTTGGCAAGGAGTCTCAGAGAGTCACGAACCGATGAAGTGAACTAATTCTCTCCTGCAAACTCCACTCCCTTTTCGCTCCTCTTTTATTTCCTCTGGGAGGGAGGGGCCATTCATCGTCCACCTGTGGCCTTACTCCCAAGTTGACTCCTGTTCTTTAGTTTTTCCCTTCGTCTGGCTGTGCATACGCACACTGGGAACAGGCTCCAGCTGTTCGTCTGCCTCACTGATGTCTGACTCTGAAAGCAGCTGATAACTGGCCTACGGCTCTGGCTCCCTCTCTGCCTCCAATGCAGAGCCCTCATCAGAGCCTTCCCCAGACTCCAGGACTGGCCCATGTTCCTCCCCAACCTCCTCACTGTTCGAATCTGCTGCCAGCTCCACTAGCTGCTGGCAGGCCACAGCAGAGATACATATTTCCCTAGAGAATTGAATTCCTCAATTCAAGCTCTTGTAGTCATACCAGCATTCCTACCTATTTCCTGTTTTCTGCTCCTCGTCACTCTGGTATTCTGCAAGGATCAGATCTTCCTCACTCGCATCTGAAAGCTCCAAAGAACCAGGCTCAGCAGGGGTAGATAAACTGTCCTTGCTGAGCTGAAGCAGGTGCTCTGCCTCTTCCTCCTCCATCCGCTGAAATAAGCACAAGGAAAACATCTGTCAATCCAAGCCAGGTAATCTGTAAACGCCTAGGAGGTCTTCTGAGCCCCTGCTTTTCTCAATGAGGAATCAGCTGATGCAGGAGACCAGAGGGAAATGGATGGCTAGCTAGATGGAGGGATAATAAATACAATTCATTTTTCAATACTCATCTAATATGTTATGCCTACAATATTGGGTAGTCACTGCAAATAAAATGTCAGGGTTCCAAGTAACACCCCCAATGAAAGAAGACTCTGAGGCTTGAGATTCCTCAAAGCTCCATTTTATTACAATGTCATATTGGCACATCTGGGAAAACCCAAATATGAAAGCTTTCAGGTTTTCCCCACCTAAGTGAAAGTTTAAGTCCCTGCCTAGCACCCACATATCCATCACATGGTCCAATCAGGTGCAAAACTGGAGATGTCTCCCAGTCACACCACTCCAGCTGCAGGGCAAGATGTCCTTGACTCTCTGAGAGAGGAATGTTATTATGGCTAAATATCTCCCATACTCCATATAATCCCCCCTCCCATTTTCCCACAGTAGAAAATGTGGCAGGCCTGAAGCCCCAATCTAAAAGATGGCTTCCAGGCCTGACATAAAAATCAACACAGAAGCCAGTTCCAAAAGAGCAATTCTTATCTTATAGATTTAAGTTCATAAATTCCTCATTTATCTATTATCCTCAACTCATACATTGTTCATGTAGTTTTCTTTGAGGCACTATGAGATAACTTTGGATCAACTTTTTTTCCGTTACAATCCATTAATCTCCAATGTTATTTTTGTGGAGAAATTATTTTAATTTTTATTCACAGCTCTGGAAATGCTCACCTTCCGTTTAGACACATATTTCAGTTTCACATTGTGTCGAATTTGCTCAAGGTATGCTTCTCGTTTCTTCCTCTTGATCTGTTCTTCCTAAAGAAATCAAGAGAATTGCATGGAAAGTTGAAACACCTGGAACCTGAAATTTGTTGTCAGAAATATTGCTGTAAAATTACTTCATAACATTTAACATTTAACAGTTCTTTACAGAAATTCTGAAAAATTCATACATTGTCCAATATTTGATGGGCAAAGGCCCCGACTGTGTTTTAAGCAGACGTTATCTTAACATTTCTCATTTTAAAATGTTCTCAGAGTAAAATGAGATCTGTTAGTAAGCAAGTCTTTAGATAAACAAAGGAATACCAGATTTTGTCTAATTTAAAAGCATTAAATCACCCACTAAACATTTTTAAATGATAACTGCAACTCTTTTGCTGTTTTTAAGGGCCCACATGCCACCATTGTATTGTGTTCATCTATCTGAGGATGGGAGGAATACATTCTAGGTTTTTTTAATAAAACATCGGAGTGCCACCGAATATGTTCATTTGTAAGTTTCTAAAGCAGGAGTGTCAAACTGGCAGCGTCACATGACATATTGCAACTTTTTTCCCCTTCGCTAAATTGGGCATGGATGTGGCCACTGTGTGATGCATCCACCTGCAGGCCTCAAGTTTGATAGCCCTGTTCTAAAGTATCAAGCATCAATTTTATTTTCTTAGATGCCATTTTCTTCTTAGAGCATCATATCTTGCGATTCCTCCTTTGACCTTGCTCTCTTTATTAAAAACACAGCACATGCAAAAGGTAGAAGAGTGCCGTTTGATGGTTGCAAGTAAAAGAAGAGCAGGCGTTACCATGGGGCAAGTGTCAATAGTACATAGCTTTCTATTTATATTTGTGAATACATCATCAGGATTGAATAAAGACGGACCTATAAGCAACCTTTTTTTACCTTCAGTCTATGAATCATTTCCTGCTCTTTTTTCTCCTGCACAAATTGCATTATCCAGTCTGGTTCATTGTTCGCTGGCTGGCTGGCTAAAAGCTTTGTATTGCTTTCCTTGAGTTCCTCTTCTGCATCTTTTCCACCAATTTTACTTGCTAATAGCTGGGCCTCCTCCAGTTTCTTTTTCTCTTCAAAATCCCGGAGCCACGAGAGAGCACCACAAATCAAACTTAATGATTTACCCTAAGAGGAAGAAGTAACGCAGGTACATCTTTATACCATACCATAAACAGGATGTTAACATTTCCAAATAAAATTCTACAAGATTTTTACATTTATATTTGTGTTATTTTTGAGGAAATATTTTCTAGGCTGGCTATAAGAGTCACAATAGCCACCTATTAGATAGCAAGTGGCTATCCAGCCACCTCTTACTCGTCTGGCAAAGTGCTTGTGTCCTATTGCTCCTAATGCTTACACTTAGGTGTATCCCCCGAGTATGGTCAATGAAGACTATATGGGTACAATACCCATGAAAAACAGGTGGCGCATATATCACACTTTCATGGATGCCATATGGACTATTTTCAACATTATCTAGGGACATTCCTGCTCACACCACTATCTTAATAACAGAGAGGTGAAGTGTGTATTAAAATAAAAAAGAGACTTACTGTGCCAGTTGGGCTCTCAAATATGCCAATCTTTCCCATCTCCAAGACCTGATAAAGTTTAGCCATAAATTGCTCTTGAATGGGATATGGTGTATAAGGAAAGGGAAAGTTCACTCTAGCCTTTTCTTCAGTTTCTTCTGTCATCTCCAGCCTTGTGGGGTGGGGGGGGCGTAAAAAAAAATCCTAAGCATTATTCCAAAAGAAAACATTAAACAAACACACACAGAGAACCAAACTGACTCTCTGCAATTCTCAATAAATCTGATTGTTTTGGGTTATAGAACCTCTTTGGTAGAACTTACACATAAATCTGCTAAATTCAGAGCTTTTTTTATTGTTTTGCATTTTGATTATTCATTTTTCTTGCTCTTTATATATTAGTCTCGTTGTTTAAACAAGTGTTTTCCATGTTTTCATCAACTAATGAACAATTATAAACTATAATTTAGGCCAGTTGACAGCCTAGGAGATGTATGTATGTATATATGTATATGTAGATGATAGATAGATAGATGATAGATAGATAGATAGATAGATAGATAGATAGATAGATAGATAGATAGATAGACAGACAGACAGAGATAGATAGAATTTTAATTCACTTTAACCTATTATTGCATTTATACACTGACTCCTAATAAACAGCGTAGGTTATCTATATCCATATCATCTATATCTATCTAAATTTATATATAATTTTAATTCACTTTAACCTGTTATTACATTTATACACTGCCTAATTCCCAATAAATGTCAATTATCACACATTTAAGAGAGTCTACAGTCGTGTCCGAGAGTCGGACGCGACGGAATGGCTGAGGATGACGACGATAGTTCAAATTGGCTGGGGATTTTGGGAGAGGTAGTCCCCTGTACCTTGGGAAAAGCCAAACTGAATAAAGTTTGCTAGTTCATTTGCAATTTTAAACTGAGTTTGACTTCCAACATGCCCACTCACTGATTCACATAAAGTTCTCCCACTTCCCAGGATCCCCCCTTAGCGCCACCTACTTTATGTCGCTGCTGCCCCTGGAAAAGCGAAGTGACTTCGAATTGAATTTCCGACCCACTTTCGCTCTCGAGATGACGTCACTGGCTTCCCCCTCGCGACCGGCAAAAAAGGGGGAGGTGGAGCTCTCTGCGCCAAAACAACCCCCGCCCGTTTTTTAGAACTTCCCGCTAAACCCGCGCGCTCGAAGGCTATTGGCTAGCCCGCCTGCCGCCGCTGGACAGCGTAACCAATCAGAGGACAACAGTAAGAAAGGATGCCTTCTCCAGAGCGAGCGCGCCTTACGGCCGCTTCCGGTTGGCTTTTGTGAGGCGGGTGGTGACGGGCTCGGCTGCTCTCGCTCCTGCTAAACTGGAGCCGGCGTTTCAGTTCCATTTACTTTGAATTGGATTTGCGTGAAGATAAATTTACTCGAGGGTTAATCCTCGCGGCGTGCAGGCCTATTTTTAGACAGATTTGCCTTAGAGCAGGGGTCTCTATACTTGGCCGCTTTAAGACTGGCTGGGGAATTCTGGGAGTTGAAGTCCACAAGTCTTAAAGCGATCAAGTTTGGAGACTCCTGGCCTAGATCGTCCTTGTTGGGAGCCTGAAACATCCACATTGATTATGGGTTCAATGTTAAAGAATTATAAATTTTTTTCTACACTGTTCAGAAAAAAACATTTATCGTGTATATTCTGCTTCCTTCCCCTTGGATGGCTCCAGCTTATTTAATAACCATCTCCCCTGCTGAGGCTTTTCCTCCTGCTCACCTCTTACCCAGGATGGCCCCAGAAGCATCACCTGTTGAGGTGTACAAGAAGAACAGGGTGTATGTGATGTTCAGGGAGGGATAGCACCCCTGGTGTAGGGTCACGTCATGTCCTTTTAGGGCAGCTCATCCACCTTTGATCCCACACCTCAGCTCTCACCTGTGGCCCCTAGTAGTTATAGTATGCGCAGCGGCCACACCACAGGCAACAGCTTCGACAGGCTGTCCAAATCAGGTTGAGAGTAACCTTTGGCGTTGGGTCATTTGCCTTCGGTAAGGTAGGGACTTGTCTATCCCAAGCATGTGACAACAGATCCTGACGGATCGAGGGGATGAAGCCTACTAGAATAGGACAACGGTCATGAAAGCGATCTTCAAGCAATGTGCTACGCTAAAAGCATGGCAAGATGCAAAAGATGGCCTGGTCAACCACTGCACCCAGCCCATCTCCAACTGTCTCGACTTGGAGCCAATCCTTCAGTTTCTGAACTTGAACACCTGTTCAGCCCAACTGATCCACTATGCAAGGAACCATCAACAAAGATGGAGGTCATTCCATTGCCCAAGTTATTCATCGATATCGTACAAAGACAGTGGGCGGCTCCTGTATCTGGGCCCAGCCCATCAACAACTGACAAGAGATTCTACAACGTGGACCAGGACCTAGCTCATGTCTTGCTATTGGAGCAAGATGGAACCCGGGAAGAGAGAGTGAGGCTGACTGTGTACCTCTCCCTCACTTTCATCCAATTCACATGGAAGTCTTGACATCCCCACATTTCCGTGATCAAGAACAGATGTTCAGGAGGGCTGAGCAATTTAGTCTGAGAAGCCTTGGGACACTGATGCCCTGGTCGACTGGGCACCACTGGAGCCAAGAGACATGCTGGGTGAGGCCAAGGAAGCAGCTGTTCCACTGTTTTTTCTTTCTGGACTGCCAACCTATGGTCAGTGTGCCAGTTGGTACCCTTGTCTTTTCAAAGTTTGGAAGGTTACTTGGAGGTCTTCTAGCCTGGTACAATGCCCTGTAGAAGAATCCTCATATCCTCTTTAAAAAGTGTTCAAACTTTGCTTGTAAAACTCCACTGCTGCTGCATCCATGACTCTTCAGAAACAAGTTGGAGATTTATTATCCCAGTCAAGAAATTTCTTCTTATTTCAAATTTGGATTTCTCCCTGTAAGTTTTTCACCCACCGGTTGTTGTCATACCATCAAGCACTACAAAAAATAAATCCACACCCTCTGCCCAGTGACATCTCTGCATCCATTGGGAAATGGCTATCATCTCTTCCCTTAAAGTCTTCTTTTTTTTTACCCTAAACATATAGCAAGTTCCTTCAACTGTTCTTCGTAAGCTTTAGCCTTCAAGATGCTTACCATTTTGTCACTCTTCTCTGCAGTATTTCCAATTTCTGAGCATCCTTTTGGTATTGTGATTACCAGAACTGGACATAGTATCAGAGGTGTCGAACTGGCGGTCCAAGGGTCAGATGCGTCATGTGCAGGCCACGCCAGCCCCAGCTCCGTGAAGGGAAAAACCATAAAACATCATGTGACAGCAATGTGATACTGCAAATTGGACATCTGTGGTATACAAGATGCAATTTGAGCAGTGCAACATAGGGCAATACTATCTCTTTCCATGATCTTGACAATATACTGATGATTCACCCAAAAACTTCATTGGCGTACAGTAATTGTGGCATACTAATAGATCATGTTTAATCTGTGGGCTACCAGGATACCCAGATCCTTCAAGTACTACTGCTGAGCCAGGTACTGCCTGCCTTGTGTCTGTGCACATGATTTTTTCCTAAGTAGAGAACCTTACATTTTTCACCATTGAGCCACATATTGTTGGTTAGGACCCAATATTTAAATCTGTTAAGATTCTTTTGAACCTTGAACCTATATTCTGAGGTATTGGCAATGTCTCCAGCTTTGTGTCATCCACAAATCTCGTGAGCATCTTTCCTATTTTTTTCATCTGAGACATTTATGAATATAGTACCTGGTTTAAGACAGAACTCTGTGGTACGCCACTGCATATCTCCCTCCATGTCATTGTAGAACCGTTAAGTATATTTGACAACAATTGTTCAGTCAACTCTGAATCCATCTCATAGCAGGACCATCTATCACATATTGTTCCAGTTTATCAAGAAGTTGGTCATGGTCTACTTTATCATACTTTACTGAAGTCTAAATATACCACAGACCATTTCCTTGATTCACTAATCTAGCTGCATTGTCAAAGAAAGCAGTAAGATTTATCTGGCACAACTTATTTTTAATGCATCCATGCTGGCTTCTGATCATAATCTTGTTTGTTTTTTAAGTGCTTGCAGATCCATTGTTTGGCAATTTTTGGGGGGGAGTATTAATCTTAAACTGGACAGAGTCTTGGTGACTACATAGCAATATTGTGAGCCACAAAAAAAAGAGCCACAAAAAAGTCACATATGGCCATATGTGACACATGGACTCTGAGTTTCATTAACACCATTTGTAAGAATGTGACAGATTTTACAAACTTGTACAGCTCATAGTAAGAGACATCTAGTGAATGTTCATATTAAAGGTAAAGGTTCCCCTCGCACATATGCACTAGTCATTCCTGACTCTAGGGGGCGGTGCTCATCTCCATTTCAAAGCTGAAGAACCAGCGCTGTCCGAAGATGTCTCCGTGGTCATGTGGTCAGCATGATTAAATGCTGAAGGCACACGGAACACTGTTACCTTCCCACCAAAGGTAGTCCTATTTTTTACTTGCATTTTTATATGCTTTTGAACTGCTAGGTTGGCAGAAGCTGGGACAAGTAACAGGAGCTCACGCCGTTATGCGGCACTAGGAATTCGAACCACCAAACTGCCAACGTTTCTGATCGACAAGTTCAGCGTCTTAGCCACTGAGCCACCGGGTCCCTATAAATGTTCATATTAGGAACTGACAAACATTCTATAGGCAATAAATGCCTACCACTTAGCTCATTTCCCCCCCTCCCTTTTGGCAATGAATGCTTATTTCCTTCTTTTATATTTTTATTTTTCATGTCTTGTTACAATAACGTATCATAATTGAGCAATTTGAAAATGAATGGCTCTCAGCCACCAATTAAAGATTGTCCTTGTGGGTTTCAACAATGAGGTTGCACTAAAATTGTAATTGTGTGATCCAATAAAACCTCCGTTAATGTGAAGGAACACCACAGCAGTCATTATTTCCTATTTGAAACAGATTAAATTCATACATTACCATCTTCCATGGTTCTTCCATAAGTGGCTCCAAAGCTATTCAAAGCCATGAAACCAAGAGACAACCGAAACCTCCACAGAGAAACCAGCTGGATTAGTAGTTGCATTTTACTACAATACTGATGATTAGGTAATGTTTTCCATAATACTCGAGCAATATAATTTATGTACGCATGACCGAATTTGACATAGAGAGCTTTGTCTTCTAACACAAGGGAATCCCTTAAAGGTTCTTACAGGATAGCCAACAGATTGCCTGGATTATCTCTAGTGGTTGATTTACATTACATAATGGAAGGATTTAGCTCTGTTTTCAGCAAAGTATATTGGAAAGAATCTTGCCACCCAATGGTGATGTCACAAGCATCTCTTGTGACCTAGCCTATTGGGGTGGCTCTTCTTTATTCATCCTTCCCATTCTATTTTCTCTTTTCCCCTTCAATATGTCTGAACATAGGTGCCACCTGGCAAGCAGAATAAAGTAGAAATTGAGAGAGTTTGAGACCTTACCTTTATCTACATACCTGCTAATGGTTCCTCCATTAAAACAAGTGCGTTCCCAACGACTCCACCAGGAAAATGGGGTGGCATCCAGCTATTCTGGTTCTGTTCCTTATTTGTGGTGAGTTAGAACATTTGCATAGCCTTTTCCTTACTCTGTCCTCTTTTTCTCATTGTCCGGGCCAATGCGTTGATTTTTTTTACTATCCTATTTATGGAAAACCCTGCTCCCATGATAAGGCCAGGACAAGAGAATCTCCATTTCCCCTCGGGAATTTTGAGTCCTCTTGCACAAAGAGATGTCCTTGGAAAGTCAAAAATGTTGATTTTTACTATATGTTTGGAGGCAAGGAGAAAAGGAAGACATGCATTCAGTGAGAGTGGCATCACTGAAAGTTATTAACACAGCTCATCATTTTATATGAATCTTATGCGTAACATATTCCTTGCAGAAAGATTAGAGAGGTTTTAATCAGTTCTGGCAGAATCAATGGCGAGAGTTTCCTGGTTTAAGTTAGGCTGCATTTGTTGGTCTTTGAGGCTGGGTTTTGTGGTTGTGTGGGTTTTTTTGCTCTGTGCTCCTGTATTATTACTGCCAAGTTAAAGCATTTTATCTGATGGTAAGGGAAAGGAGCTGAGAAGGTTTTCAGTTATAATAAAGGTAAAGGTTCCCCTCGCACCTATGTGCTGGTCATTCCCGACTCTAGGGGGCAGTGCTCATCTCCATTTCAAAGCTGAAAAGCCAGCACTGTCCGAAGACGTCTCCGTGGTCATGTGACCGGCATGACTAAAAGCCAAAGGTGCACAGAACGCTGTTACTTTCCCACCAAAGGTGGTTCCTATTTTTGTACTTTGCATTTTACATGCTTTCGAACTGCTTTGTTGGCAGAAGCTGGACAAATAACAGGAGCTCTTCCCAGTTGATTCGCTTTCTGAAATGAATGCTGTTCTTACACTCCTAAGTTCTGGAGAGACTTATTTCCAAACAATTGTCAGTCTTTCAAAGTAGGGGAAGTCAGGAAGAACAGCAGTGAATTTAGGAATGGTCTTCAAAGTTGTAGGGTATTGTAACAGAATCAATTTCTCGCTACCACATCTTAAATTAAACCAAATCAAGGCAGGGTTATTCTGAGGGTTTTTTTTCCCCTCATGGTTTTTTCTTTCCCATTCAGAAAAGAAACGAAGCCATGGTTCATTCATCCCATTTCCAGGGCCAGAGATACGTTTCAGCACATTATGTAGAGAGAAGATTGATTCTTGGCAGCTAAGCACAATGGATAAATAACCTACCTAAAACCCATGTAGAACAAAATCTCTTTATTCACAGTGTATATGCCTTTTTGGAATAGAATGAGACAACTTGCTTCAGCCAACTCACCACAGCCAACTCACTGCAGGTCAACTCACCATGGCCAACTTGCCATGGAACAACTCACTGCGGGACAATTTAACCATTCTATTTAATTATTTAAAATAAATAAAAACTTATTTTAAGTTTTGCCATTCCCATTTCATTCCCAAATTATTCTATTCTACCATTTCTTTCATATTAGTGTAACTCTTGTCCTGCAGCGATTTGGCTGTGGTGCGTTGTCATAACATAGACCTTTTTGGAAATGGTCACATTTTTGTTCTTTTATGCAGCGCTCTCAAAATGGCTTCTTGCAACAGACATACAGATACAAGATCCATCGCTAGCTGGCATGCCACTCTCAGATGCCGAATACGACCATTTCTTCAAAACATTGAACAGTCCACGCCGAGTCAGCGCAGTTTGCTTCTTAAGATCCATGTATGGCTGCCAGAACGCTTTGGTCCAGACTTTAGACCTGTATGAAAATCATGGAATCGTCCCAGAAGGTAAAGTCTATCACAGTACTTGCCATTACAGAATTGCTCTTAATCCTCTTTTAGACTTATTAAAGCTTGATTTGGAAAAAGCAATAGCAATAAA